TACTAAGTTTCTTGTCTTCGTCAAATGTAGCGCTACGACATTTAGGTGTGAGATATGGCCTCGACAGCAAATGACTCACCTCTAGGCGGCACAGACGGCAAAGGTATACGAACGGCAATGGTCCGTACACTTTTGCTCACTGGTGCATATACGAGCTCTCTAACTATGGTGAGGGCTACGTAATTCATCAATTTTCTTGCGAGCTCTCTTTTACGATAACTGCTGCTGTAGCAATGGCGGCCTTGTGGCCATCCGGTTCCTTCTGTATTTTCATAGCAATTCTTTTCAATGAAATGAGGATTATTACAATTTACTTTGACTAGAATAATTCGAAAGTAGTGCGTCTTTCAGACAAGGCAGATTATTTCGTCATTCGCCTAGCACATTGAACGCACACTGGAATAATCGCGTTCTCAAATTTGCCGGTCTGCATCACTACCTCAGCTGTGCTATACTGTTGGAATGTTCAGCTAACTGTTCTAGAGAAGGAGTTTCGTTTCAATTTACGGACACAAAACACCTTTACGACGTTGTCAAATTACACTCAAAAACATTTAAGACCGGTGCGTAGAGCACTGAGCGGTCAGGTTGTGTCCACAGGGGGGATGGTGTCTAGCTCGTTCTCAAAGTAAGCGACACTGGTGGCCTCGGCCTCTGTGTCGTCAATGGGCTTGGCATTCTGGACGGTGTCGTTTCCCGGCTCCTCGTGCGGGCTCGTAGTGGCGGCGGTCGACGACGACACGGCCTCGGCGTTCTTGATCGCGTCAAGGGCGTAGAAGCTGGCCACCGCCGCCAGCGTGAGAAGCACCAGCGCCACGCTGAATATGACGATGGTGCTGGGGCCTTGGGTGCCGGACTGCAGGAAAGTAAAGTGTTCGTCACTGGAAGTCCGCAAAGGCGTTCACGGGGTGTCCGAGTCTCGTATACATGCAGCTCCCAAATCTCTCGCGATGCGTGCAGCTGCTAGTGTTACGTTAGGCACTCACATTCTGAAAGATGGTTAGCACGCATTTATATAGAAGAACAACATACTTATCTTGCGGTTTCCTCATCTATTTTCAGCTGGTAGTGCATTTGATAATAAAAAAAGGTAAATATTCGCAGATAACTATTGTAGTCATGTTTTACCCCGTTACCATTCTTGTGCCTTTGTAACACCGCACGCAAACAGTACATAAACTTAAGCAAAACATAAGATAAGGATATTGTCAGTTTGTGGATATGGTGCAACGCTGCCGATCCGTAAATCGTTATTATATAAGAAAAACCTAGCGACTATCAGTTTTACGGAGCTCCGCGCGATGGAGGAAGACTCGTGCATTCTCATGCATTGTCCCTGCTTTGAGCGGTCGAATAAAATGCTCGCGATTAGTGTGATCTGCCAGCCTCTCATAATAGACTCCAATAGGGGGCAACCACTGCAGAAAAACGTTGTCCTCGGGTTCAAATCACAAAAGAAGAGAACATTTTTTCATATCCAATGTTTTACTTATGAGACACCCGTTCAGTTTGCCAAGTGCGCTCGTGGTAGAAAAGAGGCTTTTGGCCAACATGTTTATCTTCATGACGTAAGCGTACGCTTATGAAAAGAAAAACATCTGCTCCACTGCTTTCAGGTAATTTTATAGATATACAATAGGTCTACGAGAGTCGATTTATTCTACATTTGTGACTTTTCCTGACTGTGGAGTGAGCTTAGCGTGAAGATAGCGTTCCTAGAGGTCACTGGCCAGCGTACTGGCTACGCCTCTGCTTTCAGTTAATGGCTATCGAAGAGCACTGCGGTTGCAAACGTCTAGCACTGCTTCATTAGCACTTCCGTTCAAGAACGACAGCGAATTAAAATCATTGATGAGCGCTACTTCGGGCCACATAAGCTAGATGCTTTGCTCCACTGGGACGGAAATGGGGAGGTCTTCGTAGAACAGAAAATTCAGAAATAACAAAAGCTGTAAGAGCGGGCTTTCTGGAGCCCGTCGCAAACGTCTTTTTTTTTTTTTTGGGAAGGGGGAGGGGTGACAACTGCAATTACAGTGCCAAGGTTCGCACTGTGCCAAAAAAGGACGTTAACTTTTCTAAGTAAGGAAGTATCCAATGTGCCATTTATGATAAATATGCGAAGAAGCAAGCTACGTACCCGCTACACATTCATGTAGCGGGTAGTTAAATTTGTTTATAGTAGGCTGATTATGAATAATAACTTAGAGCCCTTTCTAACGAGTTCGAAGCTTCACGTAACCGACTCGTCACGCAGTTCGGATTGTGTGATGCCTTGTTGTTATTTTGGCCTTCTACCATTCCATGTTTGTAAACAGGCGTACAGGCCGTAGATATACTGACGCGACAGACTGAAAACGAAGAAAGGTCGCGTCTGCTTTTGTTTTCGTCGTCCTTTTCGCGAATAATCCAGCATGCACTTCATGGCAGGTCAGTGGGACATCCTAAATGCGGAGAGAAATTCTTGGCTCTTTTTTGAGCATTAAATGCACCAACACACGCAAATTCACACTCACAAGTTAGATTTGCACTCACTAGTTACATTACACTCACTAGTTACATTCGCACTCACTAGTTACATTCGCACTCACTAGTTACATTTGAGTCCACATCAAACTGTGCAAGAGAGTTGGACTTGGTACTTCCCTATACTTCTTTGACATGCGGCGTGACGCGTCTTGAAAATCATCAGACTCGGGCGTCTCTAGTGCACACCCTCCACTAATCACCGTCGACAGGAGTTCACATTTAGTTTGGCAACCGATGCCATCCCACTATAATGCAATATTTCTCGCTTCTAGTCTACTTATCATATTTGAAACAAAGAAAATATATATAATGTAAACATAAAGAAACGACCAAAAAACGCTATGAGTGCCCACGAAGGCCACTATTACTGCCAAATCCGAGCTATAACAATAGCGGAAATATCGCACTACAGGGTACTAGCGCAGTGGTGCCAATGCTTATGTGAGCGCCTCTCAGTATTCTGATAAATGGACGGCGCGCTCGATTGGTCATGCTTGCTGCTGTTCGCGATTGACGTGACATCAGTATTGTACAGCGGTCTGTACTTACTGGATTCATCATTGACCTTATCTGCGGCTTGCTAAGCTCATCGGCGTCGTCATCGTCTTCATCGTCATACTGCCTCGCTGGAGGCACGTAGGCGGGCACAACGGGTGCCGCCCCGACCGGAACAATCGGTGAGGGCTTCGGCTTCGCCTCGCTGGGCAGTGCAGCCATCGATGGTCTCTTGAAAGCTGCCATAGGTTCTGCGGTGGCCATCGTGCTCTCCGGTAACAGAGGTTTTCAGCAAGGAAGAGGACTAAGAAACGGCCGTTGCTCGGGCTCTGCAGTTCCTGTGCTCTAATAGCACGTGGAGCATGAGGAGCATGCGGGATGATGATGACAATGAGGATGGTGCTCTCGCGATGGTTGGCACCTAAACACTTAAAAGGCTGGTTGTCTGGTTGTTCCTTCGTGTCCTGACGCTATAGCTGTGGCGGGCTATCGGTCATCACTGAATAGTTGTTTGTACTAGCCTGATTTCGTTCATTCCCCTTAATTTCATTATTGCAATCAAACAGATACGAAATAGCACTTCACGGAACGTCACAGGTGCTAAGACAAATGCATACATGAAAAAAAAGCAAGGTAACTAGCAACACCTTATGTATAGTATTCATTAAATATATTCTGGATTGCGGAGCCAGCATTGCTTTGGCAGAGTGAGAAGTATAGAGCCCTGAAAACAAACGCAATCAGGATGCTGTAAAATGCAGTAGTAGTGTAATGTCAGTAGTAGATACATATTATGCTTGTCATAATGCATATTTTAATTTCTATTCGTATCTGTACTTAAACCACAATCTTTAGCGGGACGGCTCAGTGCTCTCTCAATGTTCAGTATAAAGTACTTGGAATCGTTAAACATTCTTTCTAAACACATTATTTCTCTTCTGCCTGCATCCAATCACCATCTTCCAGACAATGGAGTATGTGTTTATATAGAGTGAAAATATAGAAACCCGTGAAGAGTTTCATGTCGGTGATCGTTTAAGAACACCCAATTCTTAAAAGTGCTTGAGCTCTCTACTGTGGCGTGCTTCATATAACTCGGTGTGAGCACTGAGCAGTGTCTTGAGCTCTGCGGATGAATTAATGATAAACTTCCTCAATTGTATCATTCACTAGCAATATCAGAGATTATTCTAGTACAGGCAACAAGATACAAACACCTAAGAAATATATTTTTTTGACACAGTCGGGGGCAAATATCGCTTGATATTCAAGCATACTTCATGTTACTGTGTTTCTTAACATACCGGTCACCTACTGGTTAGTTTCAGTGGTATCTGCGTGCACAGTGAGGCTGTAATAGAGACACGCGGCCTTAATTATTGAAATGTTATGTTACGAATTAAACATTTGAAATCAACGCACGATGTAGAACTATGCGATTTGCAGTTTACAAATGATTAACTTACGGGTAATGAAGTTGGGAAACGATAAATAATTTTTTTTCACAAAATCTTTATGTTTTAGTGTTTATAGGCAAATTTATTATTCTTCTGAAAAAACAGAAGATATATGCCACGAAGCGCGCTGCAAAAGATAACAACGAAGACGGCACGCTCAGCTGACGTAGTGCTGCCGGCCCTGGTGCGAAGCTTGACGTCGCATCAATGAACGGCATGGCGCAAGCACAGAAAGCTGCAGGCGACGGCGCTTTCCCAGAGGCCCTTTTCGATGCTCCTATTGACGACGCAGAAGCTCCGTCCCTATTGTGCCTACTGAGGATGAAACGAGATCTTGCCGATCTCGAGGTGAAACCCATACCCGGCGTCTTCGTCGCGCCAGACGAAGCCCACGCCACCAAGATTCACGCGCTCATGGTGGGTCCCAGTGGCACTCCGTACGAGGGCGGATTTTTTCACTTCTTCGTTGACTGTGGCATTAACTATCGATGCAGCCACCAAGCGTCCGACTAATGACCACCGATGCGGGTCGTGTCCAGTTCAGTCCCCACGTGTACAGCAACGGAAGAATTCACCTGGCCTGCGTCTTGGACACCAGTGCAGACCATCGGCAGCTTGCTGGCTTCCATGTCGTCGCTTCTGCGAGCGGACGTCTACAGCGTGGGACATTTGTCGGAGGAGACGTACCGGGAAGCCATAAACCGTCACAATGCTTACCTGCAGCACGAAACATTGAGGGTCGCCGTGTGCAACGCGGTGGAAGCGTGCCTTCAAGGCACTTACGGTTGTCCACGTGGCCTGGCGGAACTAGTTGTCGTGCAGAAGTTTGTAAGCTATTACAACAGGTACAGAGAGATCATCGAGTTTAACCTTCACCTCAGCGGCAAAGAGATGAGAACATTTGCAGGTTCTCTCAAAGGAACCTTCGACTACCATGTACTGCTGGACCGACTAGAGGACTTGCTTGAGCGACTGACGAGCACGTACGGCATCATCAGCGCGAGCGTTTAAGTCATCGACGTAAAGCAAACTGGAGTTTGGAATGAAACGCTTCTCTTTGCAGGATTTCTAAAGAAAGACTTCTCCAAAGCTCTGTAAAGGAAACTGCCTCTGGTAACTTGCTACAAAATTAAACTTGCTAAACTTAATTTATTGTCTCCATTTTTGTAAATGTTGTAGTATATAGTTCGCCTATAATCGTGCCCTTAGTCATCTCGTAATTTACTTGGCACAATATTGGCAGACAACACTTGAAAGGCACATCACAACATTTTACTTGGTTACCTGTTATCAATAGGTTTATGTAGAGCTTTGTCTAGAGCGAGAAATTTACAGCATTGAAAAAAAGCGGCGAGTCATGCGTGGATTGCGCAGAACTCGCAGCGGAAGCGGAGTGTCCTTTCTAGAGCGTTTTTTATACTTTTTTATACATGGCACGTAGCCACTCAGGGGGTCAGCCAAGAATTATCATTTGAGTTGGTGAAACATTTTCAGTATTGAATATTTATGAGCAAGAGAAAAATAATGCAAGTAAAACCAAAAGAAAGGAATACAGTGTTTTTCTCCCTTTCAGATAAGAGAGTATAGTCGTTATTCTGATTACAAACAACATGAAATAATAATAATAATAATAATAATAATAATATAATATTAATAACATAAATATAATAATATAATCTTTATTGTCGTCTTGAGTTGTACAAACAAATAACAGGCCTGTGAAAGCCAGACAGTGGCTTGGAGGACTTGGCCCGGCACATTGGCAGATGAGAGATACATATGTATTGAAAATCTTTCATCTAAACAATCAGAGAAAGAATACATGTACTCATTTACGCTACATATAAACAAAATACAATAGAGAATCAAATTAGCGGAAGCAATACTAACCTAATATAATACTACTACTACTACTACTACTACTACTACTACTGCTAAAATAATAATATAATAATAATAATAATAATAATAGTATTAATATCAGTTTTACGTCGCAAAAGCAAGACATGATTATGAGCGACACTGATATTATCAGACGCGTGGTAATATTTTCATTTTGCTTGTCATCTATCATCGAAAGACATAGGTGATTCACGACGTATCGGAAGGATACATAACTAAAAAGATCTAAAAACTAAATCTATATTTTCATAAAGTTGGAGCTGTTTCAATTCACATGCCACCAGCATAGAGCTGGGAGGAAAGGTAATACGTCACACATCTGCGTGCGTGCATTTCCATTTATTCCCATGTATGCTTTTATCTATGTCTGAGATGACGTCATGGGGTCGTAGCGCTTATACTGACAACTTTTATACTGCACTTTCAAGATATAGAAATGCCGCTGATCACCAGAATTTGTGACATCATCATGTATTCACAGTGACGTTACTACGCCGTGACACTGAGGCGTCCAATGATGCGCCATAATATGACACCATTCCTAGGTCACGTGTGGGCCGGTCCCGTAGCAACACGAGGTTCTTTTTTCATCGTCTAGGTGGGGCGCAATAACGTAGAAAGGAATGAATAACAACTGGCCCAAACAAGTAGCTTCCTATATGCAGAAACCTTCACGTGCCGCCAATCCTTGAGGCCATACAACATCAGGCTCAGCACAGAAATATTTTAAGCGAGGAGGGACAAACAGCTTAAAAGAAAATGGCAAAAAAATGGCTTTCGCGTACAATAATTTTAGCCGAATGCACGTGAGCATGCGAGCTTTAACATGATAGCGAATGCACATATGAAAAGTTGTTCGCTTTTAAATAGGCGGTGACCTGTGCTCTGCTAAGTGCAGGATTTTATGATTACAATAAACCATTCTTATAAATATTACTCTATTCATTACTATACAGATAATAACTATAATATTATTATTGCCTGATCTAGTCTTGTTGAGCTAAGGTGCCTTCTTCATCAAAAAAGAAATCTTAGGTTTCTGAGATTGTGGCTTTCGCGTACATTTCCTCCACCAATCCTCCACTTGTCTTTTATTTATTTCCGTCACCGACCTATTCATTTTGCCAGTGTTCTCCCTCAAACCCAGCTTCACGTAGCTAGGCTGCTGTACTAGATGTTGAAACACGCTGCGTTGTTTCCGTACTTTCCCATCACATGAGCATTTTGTGTCTTTAACTAATCACGATTCATGACTACGCGTTCTAAGGCGACCTTACATCGCTTGAAACAGCAAAGCACTTCCCCTTGAACTAACGCGAAATATATTTTTGCTCATTATTTCTTTAGGCTTTCAGTAGTTACACAGAGCCGATTTTCTTTCCATCGGTGTGATCGAATACATTTTTTCCGCCTCTATGAGGTGTCTCTTACCGTTCTTTGTTGCAGTGTTGCTTTCACTGCCAGCTGTATACTTACTGTTGAGTCTCTTGTTATCTCTTCTAAAGCTGCACATCAACGATCTTATAATAATAATAATAATAATAATAACAATAATAATAATAATAATAATAATAATATAATAATAATAATAATAATAATAATAATAATAATAATAATAATAATAATAATAATAATAATAATAATAATAATACAAAACAGAGGAACGCTTCCTTTTCATTATCGCTGCACTGTGCTATTTTTAGGCGTAAGGTAGAACAAAGGGCTATGAAAAAATTCTTGTAGGCTATACCAGGCTAATTATGACCATGGTGTGCAGCATTTTTTAAGGGCGAAGCTCCTTATAGCGGCACCCGTTCGTCCCTCGTAGCTGTTGTAGCGTGTAGCAAGTATAACATTTTGACCTCCAAGGTGGTGCCGGTGAGAGATTTCTTCAGCTTGTTGTTGAACAATAACAAATTGTGCTCCATGTACATACCAATGGCTGCTAATGGGGAATGAGAGACATGAGCATTCGGCTTTTAGTCAACGCGCACGCTGCGATCCCCATTAGCAGCCATTGGAATGTACATTGAGCACTATCGGACAAGAAAGGGATGCTACATTATACTCGCTGGGTGTAACCTCCTTAGCTTTAGAAAGGTTTAGCGAGCGTTGAGCCGCAGTGCCATGAATACAATGAACTTGTATATACCATGAATGAACTCAAGGTGGTTAAAAATGAGAAGTAGGTACGAAGCGCAAGCCGTAAGAAAGTAAAAGCCGAATTCTCCTGTCTCTCATTTCTCATTAGCAGCCATTGGGATGTAAATTGAGCCCTATCTGACAGGGAAAGGTTGCTACGTTATACTCGCTGGGCGTAACCTCCTTGGTTTTAGAAAGGTTTAGCGAGCGTTGGGCCGCAGTGCCATGAATACAGTGAACTAGTATATACCATGAACTCGAGGTGGTTAAGGGTGGGAAGTAGACCCGAAGCGCAAGCCGAAAGAAAGTGTGCGTGTGCCCCCTCTCGCTTAGTCCTTGGAATGTCCGCTGGATGGCGGTGCTTCTATATAGAGATTATATGATTAAAAGACGCGAGATGGTGGTACTTGGAGTGTTGAATAGATGAACGAACAGACACACAGACAGATGCATGGATGGACGAATGAACGGACGCAGGGGAGGATGCATGGACGAATGCAGGGACAGACGCACGATCAGACGCACGCACGGACGGGTGGATGGACGCATGAGCGGTCACACAGATCGACGCATGGACGAACGAAAGCTTCACCCCACTCTCCATCATTCACACCGTGGATATGCTGTTAATTTTTTTAATTGCTTGTCAACACTGCGCCACATAGGCAATTCTCACCAATCTCAAAATTTTTTAGGGGCGAAGCTCCTTGTTTAGAAAAAGTTTATTTACAGCATATACAGAACACAAAGCTTCATACCATTCCAGTAACAGGGCACATACACTTCGGCACATCTATATTTCACGACTAACATCACTACGTTACAGTGAAGACATTTGCTCTAATATACATGATTATGTGGCATACATGTACACAAAAATTCAATGTGATATCACGATACAAGGGTATAATGATACAATAGATCCAAATGAAACACAATTTGTAACAAATGAAATCATATATAACAACTCAACGGGCGCTGCTCAGCACCAAGTCGGTCGAAAAATGAGTTGTATCCTTTCGTGTTCCACCTTGACGAAAGGGCACGACCAATGCCGCAGAAACTTTTGCTCCCCGAGGAAGAAAAGCTCTTCGGAGAGGAACGCGAAGATCTCTCGTCTCATTCTCCCCAGTATCGGCCACAAGGCACGCCGGCGGCAATTGGCAGCTACGGCCTCACATCGGTTTCTCCAAAGGCTGAACAGCCCCGCAACTATTAAGAGAGCGGAGAAGCGGCTACGCGGAAATCGGCCGTTGGACACGAAAGTTCGCACACCCTGTCCCCGAAAACCAGCATTAACCGCACGCCAAAAAAGGCGGGAAACCACACATTCAAACGTCGCATGTCGATTGGTCTCTACCATGACGCAGTTGGGGCAAGTGGAGGTGCGAACTACCTGCCATCGCTGCAATCGATCTCGCGTGGGGAGCAAGCCCCAGCCCAACCTCCAGACAAAGTCTCTGAGATTCCCTGGCAACACCGCGGCAGTTATTGGTTTCCAAGCGCGGTTCAATACAGATTGACGATGCTGGGGCACCAAGGGCCGTAGAAGGACGGCCATTGTGTCCACCACTTTAGAATCGGCCACCTCTATCTCTGGGCACGTAGTTTCCAAACGTCGGTGAAATGCCAGAAGGGCTCGATACAAAGATGGTAATTCAGTTGATTGGGGACCTTTGTTTATTTGGCTATCCGGCAAGAAGACACGTAGTGATGGCCCCAGATGGTAGCGAGCCAGTGTCTGAGCGGGCATGTCATCATTGCTTAGTATTCGCAATAAAGTGCGGAGGAACAATGTAGAAGCCGCGACGGAAACGTCAGGAAATGCAAAACCGCCTAGATCTCGCGGTTGAGCTAACGCTGGACGCGATAACAATTCTGTGCCACCAGACCAAAAAAAAAGAACTGATGCAGCTTTGCACTTTCCGGCAGACGTGGAGCGGTGGTTTAACAGAATGGCAAAGGTA